ATGCCCATTTGAAGGCCAACCTCCACTGCACTCACACTCCATCCCAAACCATCCATGGACCTCACTGCACACTGGTCCCTGCACTTCACAGGCTTCAGCCCTGTGTATTGATGTGGACCTTGAATTTGAAACTATGGCTTGTCTTTTTCTCCCCACGGCACATCAATACCTATGAAGTATCTTCACCTGCCAGCAGCTCTGCAGGGCTCCTGCTGAACTTCAGCATCATCTGCTCTGGAGGGCACCTGCCTTCCTCCAGGGGCCCCCACCCAGGGCCCCCAAAGCTCCCACTACCCAAGCCATTTACATAAGACCACCCCGACTACCCTCCGACTTAGGGGAACTGAATCCCTCCAGTCATGCCCCTCAACTCACCTAATGCAGAAAGAGTGAACCTTAACTGTGTGAGAAAAAGATACACTGGCATGTAGTAATGCCAAGTGTCACAAGAAATGTGCTGTAGTTGAGAGTGAAGGGAAAGAACAGTGGCTTCATACCTGGTGCTTGAACTTGCTTCTGTCACACTGCTCAGCAGCTGTGGAACTTCGTATTCAATAAGTGTTTTCAGCTGCCCATCCCCTACACCACCACGATACACAATTATCCGTGCTGGCAAACCATGGTTGTACTTGTACCACTTGTCAAGCGCCCCTGTGGAATTTGGCAATAATAAGGAAAGAATGACTCTTCTGATGCCTACAAGGAATAAAATTCCCACCTATTTCAGTGTTTAAATAAGTGTGGGCTTTCAGACCACTGTAAATACGGTAATACTTATTTGGGTTGTATTTGCAGTAAGATTAAAGTGGATGACTTCAGGGAACATTCCTGCATCTCTTTGGCCTTTCTGGTTCCAAGCTCTAGGCTGTCGGTGATCCATGGCACTATACAGTCTTAAATTTAGCACATCTCTTTAGGACAATTTTAATATTTAAGCAATAAATTTAAGTCCTGCAATAGACCTACAACTCCCCAAATCAAATTAATACTAATTTATTTTCTTCAAGTCTTTAAATCCTCTCAATAGATATAGACTGGATAATTTTATGTCATTTTCTCCCCTAATGAACATAAACATGAAAACATAAGGAAGGGACTTGTCTGTTCCTCTGAAAGCATCTCTTCATACGGACTCGCCCAATTAGATTCCAAGTTTTACTGACAATAAGAACTCTGAAAACAATTCCACCTGCTCTAACTAGAAATCAGCTAAAGACAGTAACTCCTACCCAACAGAAATTTTCATGACTACTAAAAAAAGGACTAGGTTTGGAAGTGAGGGGAAGTAATATAACTCTTTTCATGCACATACTGCAAAATTGTCTTAGAAGTTTATTTTCCAGGAAATTCATTTAGTATGATAGAAGGAGATCCTATTTGGAGATGCATGGCCAACACATATTCCCAAGTTCACTTTTTTTAGCAAAAAAAATATTTACAACCTCCCAAAATTTATGGATGGGAAAATGCAGATCAAGAGAGGAAGTGAGATGCACAATTCCCACAGCTGGAAGGTGGCAAAGCCAGATCCCAGCCAGGGCTGGGGAGCAGGTGGCAACCTCGGATACCTCTTCCCACTGCACCCTGCTGCAAAGGCACCCTGCCCGGTCTGCCACCCACCCTACCTTCTGCTATGCCACCCTTTACTGCCAGCATCCTCATCCCAGGCCAAAGGCTTCTCTCCAATTGCAGACCTAATACTGCTGTGTAGTAATTGTTTTGGTTAATGGGTGGGTCACTTTTGATCTTCAACGGGCTTGCCAGAGCTACCCACAGCTGCAAGCCCTGCTTCCTCTTGGCTTTCTACAAAATCTGACTGTGTCTGGGTGAGGACACAGCTTGGGCATCTCCAGCTGGGTGACAGCTGACTCAGGTGGGGTTGGGCAGTCTGCATCCACCTATCTGGTCTGCTACAGGCACGGGGACTTTGGGTCTAAACGAACATTTCTTGGAGCCCACCCCCCATTGCTATAGGTTTAGTACCAGTCATGAAAACTTTTAAGCAATCTGCAACACTAGTTGATGTTGTCTGAAGGATACAGCGGGAAAACCACCTAAAGTAAGAAAGGAACAAAAGGAAAGTTCAACTTCAACATTTCTTCTATAAACATGCATTAGTATTAAATTAAGAAATAGAAAACAACCTGTATCCATCAATGGATGACTAGATAAAGATGTGGTACACACACACACACACATACCACACACACATAGGAATACTATTCAGCCATAAAAAATAACAATCTGTTACAGCCATCTGTAACAACATGGATGGACCCGAGGGCATTATGCGAAGTGAATTAGTCAGACAGAGAAAGACAAATACTGTATCTTACTTTGTATGGAAGGTGAGTGAAATTGTGAAGGGAATCAAAAGGTACAAACTTCCAGTTATGAAATAAGTCATGGGGATGGAAAGTACAGCATGGCAACTATACTTAGTAATACTGTATTACATATTTGAAAGTCGCTTAGAGAGTAGGCCTTAAAAGTCTTCATTACAAGAAGAAAATTTTGTATAGCTACATATAGTGACGGATGTTAGCTAGACTTCTTGTGGAGATCATTTCACAATATACATAAATACCAAATCATTATGTTGCATACCTGAAACTAGTATAATGACATGATGAGTAAGAATCAATGTTCATACTTTCCTATATGCTATAGGATCACACTTATATTAAAAACTGTTCCTTTCCACATGAACTATATTGCTAAGAGTAATTAAAGCATAATGCTGGCATCAGATACATCTGGGTTCAAATCCTGACTGGCATACTCATGAGCTATGTGAACCTAACCTTCAGTTTCCTCATTTATACCAAAAAAATACACAAGATAATAAGGTAGTTATTACTTCACAGAGTTGTTATAAAAATTAAATTAGATAATATACATAAAGTACTTAACATTGTACTTGGCGCATAACAAGCAAAAATAAATAGAGGCCACTATGGTTTTTTTAGTTAGAATTTGTTAGTTTAGCAGCAGAACTACTTTCAAAACATTCGAAGATTTCTCAGGCATAAACATCTACTTATATAGGTCAGCCTTTCGGACTTGAAATCATAACATGATCAATTTATTTAGATATCAGAAGCAAGTTTTCTTGCTGAAGTTATTAATTAAATAAAAGCACTTGGAAAATGAAGATCAAGAAGTAGAGGCAGGTGTGCAACAACATTATTCTATTTCTCTAAATATATCCAACAAGAAAACGCATAACAAGCTGGAAGTCTTTATCTGCCTGTTTAACAAAGTGAACCACATAACAGGGATCTGGTGCAATCGAGAAGGAAGTCGGAGGCATGCTGCTGTTTGTCCTATTTCCCACAATCCCAAATATATCCTGACCACAAATTTAATGGAGTCAACCAAATAGCTTAAGTCTAGGAAGAAAACATGTTGCAAACAGCTCCTACAGCCTCAAAACACATTGCTTAGTTACAAATATTGAAACAATTCTAAGAACTACCATTTAATAAGTACAATAAGTCAATGTTTAACATACTATCCCTAATGCTCTTTGTTTTTAGTAGCTGGGTGATCATGACATCAAGTGTCTGAAAGTTCTCAATAATAAAAATATTTAGACGTGACAGCACGTATGGCAATGTTTTAAGCACTTTATCTTATGTAATTCCCACTGGTGCCACATGAAATAGGCATTGTCATCCTCATTTAACAGGTGACTACACTGAGGCACAGCATGGTAAACAACCAGACCTCAGACACTAAATAACTAAGTGGCAGATCAGGATACAAACGCAGGCAATTTGATTCCAAAGCCCAACTGCTAAAGATAATGTATGTAAATTTCCAACCACAATACCCTATACATATGGATGTTCAGAAAATAAATGCACAAGAATTTCTGCACATCCATCATTTGGGGAGTATGGCTGGCCTATGAGCAGTAGTTTGTCCTAATATATGTATAAAGATCATTTGTTAAGGAGGCTATATAGTATCTCAATGTTATCAATCACATCTTTATATGTTAGCATGATTTATGACCATCAGTGTTCACCTGCTAAAAATGAGTAAACAATACAAACTACTTCTTGCTGTATGATCTTCAGTTAAACCATAAATAATAACTAAAGAGTATGTTAGGATAATTTGAGACCTACCTGGTGATTCTGACATTAATACTGGCTACAAAGCCAACCACCACCATTCCTTTGCTGAATTCATCTTTACAGATATCAATACCGACCACCATCAGGGACTTTAACTGTAAAATTAGATTTTTCATGATTTAATGGGATGAGATACCATTCCTTATTAAGTCGTCCAAACGATGACTTAATATGAAGCTTTAAAAAAAGCTGCCCTTAGTTATTAAATAATTTTTTAAGTTAAGCTATATGCGAAGGAGATCAAGGTCCAGATGAAGCAAATCATTAAACCAGAAACCGAAGAGCCTTAAATATAGAAGGAAGAATATGGTACAGACTTTAAGAGACTCACTATAGTCCCAAAGAACCACCATCCCTTGTGGAGGTGGGCAAGGGCCACCAGTGATTCAAGCAATCCTGGGAAAGTGGTCAGTCCATTTATCCCTTGCCTCTGGGCTGAAGGAATCCAAAGAGGAATCACATTTCCCAGTGTTCAGAGGTCTCAGGAATCCTCACCTGGCTATGCACCTCGAGGAGGGGCAGCGAGAGTAACTGAGCACACCCTGGTTGTGGACACGCAAGACTGGGCAACTGTCCCTCATTTCTCATCCGCCTCCCCTCGTCCCACGTGGCCGTAGTTCAGGAAGGAGAAGAGGATTTGCTCAGTTCCCACCACAGTTCAAGGTTCAGACCACAGCACTGCCAGCTCCCGGAGCTCTGGGGAGGTGCGATCCGGGGTGCATGGCTGCTGAGAGGCAGCACCCCGCAGAAAGCAGGGGAAAGTAGAGGCCACGCAGAACAGGTTTTAAAAAGTGACTGGGAGGCTCCAAATTGAGTCCCTCCAAGTCTGTGCCAACCTAGATTCTCCTTCATGAAATATCCTGTTATCAGCTTCACCGAAGCTCCAGGAGAACAGGGGCCACGCTTTGCCTCCTTCTGGACAGCCTCAGAGGCCTGCAGAGCAGAACACCCCCCAGCCAACCCAACAGACGAACTGAACAAAACTCCTGGGGTC